GTCCAGAAGCTCATTTGGCAGCTCCAAGGGGATCAGGGACTGAGCTTTTATCTTTTTGCTCTATGATCCTCGTGTGAGGACTCCATTCTTAAGGTGACCTCATAGGCCAGTATGGTGGCTGAAGCTCCAGCCATCACATCCACATTCCAGGTGGTGGAACAGAAGAAGGGGAAATGGGACAAGAATGCGCCTCCCAGAGGGGCCTACCTTTAAGCAGCCTTTCCTGCAGTTTGACACACAATCTCCTCTTATACTCATTGGCTGGGTTTAGATGTGCAGGAACTTAATTAAGGAACTTAATTTTTATTCTGGACAGCAATGTGGCCAGCTAAAAATCAGAGTTCTATTACTGGAGATGATTATAAGAGTAAATATTATGTGAATAAAGAAAATGTGGTACACATACACCATGGAATACTATGCAGCCATAAAAAAGGATGAGTTCATGTCCTTTGCAGGGACATGAATGAAGCTGGAAACCATCATTCTCAGCAAACTAACACAGGAACAGAAAACCAAACACCGCATGTTCTCACTCATAAGCGGGAATTGAACAATGTGAACACATGGATACAGGGGAACATCACACACTGAGGCCTGTTGAGGGGTGAGGGGATGGGGGAGGGAGAGCATTAGGAGAAATACCTAATGTAGATGACGGGTTGATAGGTGCAGTAAACCCCCATGGCACGTGTATACCTATGTAACAAATGTGCACGTTCTGCACATGTATTCCAGAACTTAAAGTGTAATAAAAATTTTTTTTAAAGGTAAATCTTATCTAGCATCTAACTTTTATTTTTAAAAAAGGAATTCTCCACTTAGGCGATCTCATGGGGGAGGTCAGAGGGAGGCACTGGACCAGTTTGAGGGGACAGAGCGTGACTCCTGCCTCGGGTCTGAACTTTCCTGCAGTGACCACCCTTCCTCCCAGGTCATAAGGAATTCTAAAAACAACAAGCAGACCGACAAAAATGACGATGGTGATGGCGCGGAACTTACCTGCAGCCTCTGCCTGCCATCTCCCGCTTCTCCCCAGGTCTCAGTGCAGATGACTCCTGCCTCCTGCCTCCTGCCTCCTGCCCAGGGCGACTTCCTGCCTCCCCGGAGTGGCTCGGGACCCCCGTTCTGTGTTCCCACAGTTGACAGCACTTTTCCTTCGTGCACTTTGCTGCAGTTTGCAGTGACAGCGTCTGCGACTACAGCACTGACGCTGGTCCCTCCCCAAGGGCAGGCCTGAGCCCATTCTGTTCACCATTGTGTCCCCCAGTGCAGGAGCCAGCACAGAGGGGCCACGCAGCAAAGAACTGCTGAATGAATGCGTTACCACAGGACCCGCTATAAAAGTAAAGGGAACTATAAGACCAGATGGTAAGCAAAATAAACAATAAAACAATAAAACCAGAGAACTAAGAGAGCTAAAATCATGTAAGTATAAATGTTTAATAGCTCAAGAACTGGATATCAAGGTAACTTCTTTTTAAGATAAGGAAAGCTGAAGGTGGGAGTCAGTAGCGGAAGAACAAAAGGAGGGAATAAAATAGTTAAAACGGGCAGTAGAGAGACTGGCTCCAGCTCTGACGTGTAGGAAGCCTGGAAGCCATCACTTACTTAGAGCAAGAAACAGCTGAACAAGCTCAGAACCCGGGGATGTCCTTGGCCCCCTCACAGAACAGATTGTGGATGAGCCACCACCCCGAAATCTGGAAGGACGGGTGAATGCAGGCCTGGGGCCGAAACCGTGGAAACCTCGAATGAGTGGGGGAGGATGGGAACACCCCAGTGGTGACTTTGCTGAGTTGCTGGAGGTTGAGTGTGGAAGCTTGAGAGTGAGAAACCCTGGGGCCATCCTCCCAGGGGTCCGTCACACTCTTGTGGTTCAAACCTCCAGGAAGCCTACAGGTTCTCACAAGTGAAGATCCAAGAAAGATCCCCGTTGGCTCTGCAAGGGGGAGCAGAAGAGTCATCCTTGTGGAATCTGCCCAGCGTGTTCTCCCCAACGCAGGCTTGCTCCAAGGCCTGCCCAGGCTGGGGAGGTACTTCTTCCACCCCAGCCCCCTTTAGCCTTCCTGTCTCACCCAAGGGGAAAAGAAAAGCTACGTCACTGGAGGAACGCTTGCGAAGGTCATAGCCCCTAAAAACGGAGACTCCATCGTGGGATGACCGGATGCTTTCCTTCCCCCA